AAGCACGTGTGCGCCTGCTTTGGGGACACCATGGGGACTGCCACCTTTGCAGCGTCCCCCCTGCCCCCTCCCTGCACCGAGCTCTCCAGCGTAGCCCTGTTTCCCTGTCCCCAGGTCCCACGCGGCAGCCGAGGCATTGCGGATGAGGCAGAATCTCTCCCCCTACCCCCCCATTCCACCAGCAGGTCCGATATGTGTCCTTGAGGTCTGGCTCCCTCCTCTCACCGGCAAAAGACAGATCGTCCCAGGATCAGGCCGTGCTGTTTCGGTGGCTTCTTAATGCACTCGAGGGTGACTTTCATCAGGCCCTGTTGACTCCAATAGATCTATCTCATTCTTTCATCTCTTCTTCTGCTCGCTGGTCCCCTTTTTTTTTTTTTTTTTTTTTTTTGGTGGAAGTATCCAGTCACAGTTTATGCATTGCATGCTATTCATGCAGCTCAGCCCATGAAAAATGCATGAGGAGTCCCTCAGCTTTCCTCCCCACGGCTTCATAAATCTTGCATCACTTTCTGCACAGCAGCTCGGCTTCCCAGGGTGATGGGGAGCAGCCTCCCCGCCGCTCCTGCCCTGGGGCTGCAGCATCCCCTGGGGATGCCGGTGCTGCAGGCTTGAGCCCTGTCGGGCTGGCAGAGGTGTTTGGGGCAGTTCAGAGCCTCTCCCCAGCCCTGTTTTGGGGTTATTGGATAGGAAAAGACAGAGCGTGCTGTGTCACTGCCCTGCAATGTTGCCAGCACTGGGGCCATCTCACTTTGCCATTTGCTTTGGGTTTACTGAAAAGAAGAGCGATGCAGAGAGTAATATCACCCTGTTCACAGCGTGTTCAGCATCCTCTGGAGTTTGTGTTCACGCTGGAGATGCAGCTCCACGTTTATTGCCGGGACTGGCCAGACACTGTGCAGAAAAACCACCCAAAAAAATCAGTGAGGACCTGGGTTTCAGGTAAAGCACCTTCTGCACCTTCCTGAGCAGGGAAATTTATCAGTTGGTGGCCACAGCGTGCGAGTGTCCCTTCTCACGCTGAGCTCGACAGAGGAAAATAAAAGGCAACTCCTGATTTGAGCTTTGTGTAAGGGCTGGTCCCAAAACCAAGGCGGGCACCATCCCTGCTTCTGTGGCACCTGAAACCACGCACCTTTCCAAGGAGACCTTGTTAAACACTCTTGTTCCTCAAGATTTTTGCTTGCCGCCTTTAATTTTTATGCCTTGAAGCTGCAAACCTTTCCGCTTTCCCCATGAGCTGTCTGACACCTCCCCATCACCTGCATAGCTATTTCCCTTTCAGCTTCTTTAACAAAGTTTCCCCATTTTCGTGGTTTCCCCTTTGCAGTTTCTCTGTCTCCCTGAAGCTATCAAGGGTGCTGCCTACATGGAGTGAGTTCATATTACTTTTCCCCTGATCCCTCCCAGCATCTGACACCATCGTGGTCCAGCAGCAAACCCCAGGCTGAATGAGAAAACACAGCACGGGGCTGGGCACATCAATCCCGGGAGATTTAATCCGAGCTGCTGACAGCCCCAGTTCGCTAACCCAATTGACCTTGTGCTCCCATTAATCTATAAATCCTCTGAAAAAAAACCGTCCCAGCCCACCCTGCCTTTCCTGCCCAGCCTGTGGGCAGACCACCCATCACCTGATGCAGTTTTCCCTCGACATCGGGAGACCCAGCATCCTCACCTGCATCCTCACCAGCATCCTCACCCGCAGCTCTCCCCCTTGTCCTCCAGCAGCGGGCATCTTGCAGGAGCCAGAAGCTGCTGGCTGCCCATTTCTCCTTGAGTCCACCACCACCTCCGTTAGACCTTTCCCAGGACAATCTTTGCCCCCCTCACCCCACGGCTTTTCCCACCTGTGGCTTTCCCCACCTCTCTTTAGGCTGGCCCGTGCCCCTTTGCAGCGTGAGCTTGCCCCCAAACCCAAGGGGCAGGGGAGGAAGGGGGTTGGGGATGTGGTGCTGGGTGCTCAGGCCAGGCATGGGTCTGCTGGGGTGTCCTCCCCAAACCATAAAACATCAGAGAAAGTCAGTTCTTAGGGGAAAAAAAAAAAAAAAAAAATTGACATTTCTGTGGGATGGGGTAACAGCACAGCAAGGGGCTGCTCTGGGGCTCGGTGCCTGCAGTACCTTGGTCGGTTCAGCTGGTGCTTTGCCCCACAAACCAGACTGAAAAGCAGATTTTCCTCCCAAAACAAAACCAGAGGAAAGAGGGAATAGCCCATAACAAGGCAGGATGCCTTCACGTGGGGTCTACATGTCTCCCTCGTCCCAGAATCCCCTCTCCCCCGGGGACCACAAGATTAGCACCGTGTCTGTGTTCAGGAGAGAAAAGATAAAGAGGATTTATTTCCTTTCCAAGGTGGAAAATCCCGATGCTTTGCTGAAAGCCGAGAGGGCAATGCATGTGATCGACAACTGGATGTCGCTGTTAGTCAAAGGTTTTTATTTTTATGAAAAAATAGAAAATTTCATATCTTACACTACAAAAAAAATACCATGTACACAAACAAAAAATGCACAGAGAGCATCCCAGGAGGGCAGCGGAGGAACAAACACAGCAATGCTACAGCCTCCTACGAGCTGCAAAGCC